TTTGCAAATGGGCGTTTAGGATGTTCGGGAACAGCATGGATAGCACGACGAGGAGAAGGGGGCAACGAGGAGGCGGAGGAGTAGGTGATCCATCCCTCTCTCTCTCTCTCGCTCACACCCTGCCTTGCTCGTTCCGTCCCTTCCCTGTCCCCTTCCTTGTAGAACCTTCCGCTTTTCAACGCTCCTCGGTTGCGGCGCTGTTCGGTTTCTCCACATCTATTGTTTGACTAGCTGCTTGCCTCCCTGGTGACCGCCCAGCTAATTCTGCAGGTCGCCCCATGGATGCAAAGGCCGTGGCCGCGGCGTCCTGAAGGCGGCTCCAGACGAGGGGCGGGGCGACACCAGCGGCTAGGATACGGGCGATGGTGACGGCAAGACAGGACGGCAATGGTCGTGCGACGGTGGTCGCAATGTACGATAACCCGTAGTGATGGCGACGAAGAAATCTAGAATAACATGTGTAGAACGGACTGTCAGCCAACGTGGACCCCAGATATATGTTCTAGCACACTGTGTGGTGCACTCGGTGTGGAAGAAATACGCCGGGCCCCCTCCTGGGGCGTCATCCACTCACATCTGATGTACGCTCCCGGTGCCGCGCTTCCCGTCCTCCCGGGGAGCCCCCACAATGCCCAAAGACAGTCCAAGACGACCCCAAGAAGTCCCCACAACGTAACAGAATTGCCCAAGACGCGCAAGCAACCCAGGATAGCTTTCGGGCGGCTCTCCAGGCTCCCAGGAGGCCTCCAAGAGACCTCAAGGGAGCTCCGAGAGGCCTCCCGAGAGAACATTTTTTGTTTTTTGTTTTTTTGTAGGGTTTTTAACCTTCTCACCATTTCATGTTTCCAACGCTCCAAGACGGCCGAAGAGGCCCCCAAAACCGTTCCAGAGGCCCCCAAGACGGCCCCAAGACGGGCCAAGACTTTTCCAAGATTGCCAGAGAGGCGCCCCGGACAGTTCCAGACCACCCCAGAACCGGCCCAGGATGAGCCCAAGAGCGGGAGCAGGAGACCGCCAGAGACCTCCGAGAGGACTTCGGGACCCCCCAGAAGCCTCCAACACACCCCAGACCCTTGAGAGGCCCCCACAAAAGCGCCGACGAGGCCCCCCAAAACAGCCCAAGAGAGCTTCGAGAGCCGTCCCGAGAGAGCCCGAAGAGGGTAAAAACTTTGATTTTCATTTGTTTTTGTCGACTTGTTTCGCCTTCTCACGTTTTGCGGCTTCCAACGCTCCAAGACCGAGGAATTTGAAAACAAATTATGGAATTTCAGAGATTCCTTGTCTGTGTGTGTGTTCAAATTCAACAAATGTGCGCCCCCTCCTCCCGGGGGTCCCACTTCACACTTCACCGGAACTTCTGGTGTACGCTCCCGGTACAGCGCTTCCCGGGGAGCCCCCATGATGCCCAAAGACAGTCCAAGACAACCCCAAGAAGCCCCCACAACGTAAAAGAATTTCCCTAGACGCTCACCAGCAACCCAGAATAGCTTTCGGGCGGCTCTCCAGGCTCCCAGGAGGCCTCCAAGAGACCTCAAGAGAGCTCCGAGAGGCATCCCGCGAGCTCCCGGAGAACCCAAAATTGTTATTTGTTCCTGGTTTTCAGCAGGGTTTTTGGCCTTCTCCCCATTTCGTGCTTCCAACGCTCCAAGACAGCCGAAGAGGCCACCAAGACCGCCCCAAGACCGCCCAAGAGGCCCCCAAGACGGCCCCAAGATGGGCCAAGACGGTCCCAAGACTGCTGAAGAGGCGCCTCGGACTCCGGGAACATGATTTCCGGGCTCCCAGGACGCCCAAGAGGGCCCCAGGACGGCCCCCAAAGGGCCCTAAAAGGACGTTCAAAAGGGCCCAGAGGGCCACAGTTCGTTGATCTGCGCGAGATGTTGTTGGATTTCTTCCGCGCGGAGAAGACGAAGAGGGCGAAGGAGGAGGAGGAGGAGGAGGAAGAGGAGAAGGAGGACGTGGCGGGGAGGAGGAGTAGGAGGAGGAGGAGGAGGAGGAGGAGGAGGGGGGAGAGAGGAGGAGGCTCGAGGGAGGCCGACGATCGGCGACGACGACCGGCGACGGTGATTGACAACGACGACGACGCCGACGACGACGGTCGACGACCGACGACGACGACGATCGACGACGATGACAACAGTCGACGCCGCCGATCGACGATCGACGGCGACGACGACGACGGTCACGCCGACGGCGGCGTCGCTGTCCGCTTTCGCAGAGCCGCATCGTTCGAAGTCTTGTCCCTTGAGGCTTTCCTGCCTCGGGATGCTCTCCAGTAACTAGCTGCGCTTCGCCGAGAGTGTTTGGGGGGTGCCCGGATCGTCCCGAACGGTCGCCAGAGGCCCGAAGCCACGAGGTACGAGGATGGGCTCGGGAGGGGGCGCATCGACCCGCAATCACCCACTGATCGCTGACAGGGGCCCGACAGCCCCACCTCGCCATCAGATTCGCCATCGGGGGCTCACCGCCGATCTATCGGCGATGTATCGTTGGTTCCAGCTCGAGGTCCCTTCTCCCCCGTGCGATGCACCCCCCTCTTTCGGAGGCGACGATAGGGGCGAATAGCCCAAGGCAGACCAATACAGGTATCCAGGGGCGCCGATAGTCCATGTCTTCGAGGAGGCTCCCAGAGGGATGCGTGCAATGCCCGCCCCTGGGCTATTCGCCCTTATCGTCGCCTCCGACTAGCGTGGCCCCTCTGGGTAAAAGGAATCATTCCTTCCTCTCCTCTCCCTCCTTCCCGCTCCTCCTCGTTCCCCTCCCTTCCCTTCCTATTCCCCTTCCTCTTCCCCTCCCCCTCCTTACCCTCCTCGTCTTTCCTTCCGTCCCTTCCTCCATCCCTCATCGTTGCTGACTTGGTGCCCGCGCCCCTCAGGGTGGCAAGGGCTTGCAGGTCGACCCGAGCTTCGCGAATCAGTGGAACGCGGCGGCCGCCGCGGTGCTGCCGTGGGGGTTGCTTTTCGAGGGCAGGGGAGGAAGTATGATGTTGCTGAGTCCTCATTTCTGAGAATCAACCGCTGTTGGTCATCCCTCTGGTGCCGACTATGTTTTTCAATTGACGTGCCCCTCATGAGGCTCGCACCCACTTTTTTACGAAGGGAAGTCTTGGGCCTCAGATTGGGACGGTCTCCGTTTACAGCAGCAGCGGCTCCCGCATGATTCCTCCCCACAATCTATTCAAAAAAGCCCGCTCTCGTCCGGGATTTCCCCACAATTCACTCAGGAATCGCGCTCCCGCTTGGGATTTCCTTGCAAATTACTCAGACGCCGCACTTTCGACACTTAGGAATCAAGCTCTCGCGGTGGACTTCCACACGATCTACTTGCGAATGGCACTATCGCTCGAGACTTCCTTGCAATTCGTGCAGGATTTACGCGTCAGCGACCCGCCCGCTCGACCCTACAGTATGGGCCTGCCAATCCGACCCGCCCGTCAGGGTCTGCCTGCCCGACCCGCCCGTTTAATGTTGCCGATTGTTGTCCTGTTTCTACCCCCCCTCCTAATTTCTCTCGTGCTCCATCCTTCTCCCTCCCCCTTGCCCCTTCCTCCCTCACTTCTCGCGCTCCTTTCCTCTTCGCTATAAGTTTTGTTATGTCTCCCTCCTCTTTCTGTTTTAGGGGCTGCGCCAACTACGCGTGGCAGGTAAGGAATACATACCCCCAAGGGTGTGCGATCGAAGACGAAGAGGGCGGGTATCGAAGGTTTGGGATATGCATGTTGATTGACACGCGCGCAGATCAGAGCGATCAGTCTTAAACTGATTGTTGTTGATGGTGATGGTGATGATGCTGCTGATGCTGATGATGGTGATGGTGATGGTGAATGATGATGATGATGATGATGATGATGATGATGATGATGATGATGATGATGATGATGATGATGATGATGATGATGATGATGCTGATGCTGATGCTGATGCTGATGCTGATGCTGATGCTGATGCTGATGCTGATGCTGATGCTGATGCTGATGGTGATGGTGATGGTGATGGTGATGATGATGGTGATGGTGATGGTGATGGTGATGGTGGTGGTGGCCGTCATGGTTGTGGTTCTGATAATGGTGTTCTCTTGTGATAAGGATCCCCCCCTCCTGGTGACAGCGCGCGCCCGCGGTGCACAACTGCCGTACAGTGCCGCGGTCTTCGAGCGGGAGCGAGCCTCACCACTCCATGGCCGCCGAGTGCACGCCCTCGACACAGGCCACCCGTGCAGCGCAGAGAGCGACGAGCGCAGGCCAGTCTGAGTAAATGAGTTCATGCAGTGTATATTATCACTATGATCTTGAACTCCCAGGGCAGATTGTTGGTATTGTGTTTATCCGTAGGCACCCTCTTGGCCCGAGGTTATCGTGCGTTTCAGGAAAATATTCCTCCGCCACCATCCTGTCGGATATCATTCGATGTGCTTTCGCGCGTCAGTGGTAGCAGGAGCGTGACACTCCCAGGAGTGTTGGTCGATCCGCGGCACGATGTCGGGTGAACCGAAGGATGGCAACGGCGAGGGACAACGCAGGGCAGAAGATCTAGCGGGCAGGAAGGAATTGTCGGATGGCACTGTGGACTCAGATGTGTTCACTGGCGAGCAAAAAATTGAGCTTGAGCAGATGATGAAGCAGCAGCTGGCGCAGACGGAGGCCATGCTGCTGAAGTACCTAGGCAAACACGGCGCGAGCGAGAAGGAAGAGGGTGCTGACCGGCGACCTCGCGATCCGTGGGATTCAGATGACCCGTGGAAGGGTCAAAGTCGGTCGGAGAGCCAGGGCGGAGAAAGAAGAGAATGGTCTCAAGAAGAATGGGACGAGTGGAAAAAAGGCCAAGGGCGGCAGGTACGAGAGCGACTGGAGGGACCAGAAGTGGGAGAAGGGCGACTACACTGATCCGGAGGCCCTCATGGGCTGGTCAGACTATAGATTGTGGCGTCGCCGAGTGGTCAGGTGGCTCGACCAGACAGACGTACCGCCGAGGAAGAGGTCCGACAAGATCCTGAAGGTATGAGACAGGGACTTGCAGAGAAAATTCGAGGATATCGCAGACGCAGTGTTGCAGTCAGCTGAAGGGCCGATGACGATCATCAAGCGACTCGACATCATGAGCGGACAACGCATAGACGACGAGAAAAGAAGAGCGGGCCGAGAATGCTTGATGGGATATCGACGCAAAGCGGATGAAACCCTCTCAGTATACACGGCAAGGATGGACCAGAACTTCGAGTGGCTGAAGGGCCAGGGGCTCGAATTAGACGACAGCTGGAAAATATTATTTCTTGAAGAAGGCATAGGACTGGATGAGAGCGGGATGCAGATGCTGAAGGTCATGAGCCGCGGCTCCAAGGACTACGAGGAAGTGATCGGCGCGGCGAGAGAGATGGACGTGACACGCAACGAGCATCTCGGCGCCCGGACGGGCAAGGCCACGGCGGCGACCTACGCACTGCAGGATGATGACGACGACCTCTGCGAGTACAGCGACGTATCTTCCATGACGTCGGAGCAGGAGGCTTTCGTGCTGGAGTCGATCGCCGAGGCCGACGTAGACGAATACGAGTTACCAGAGGTGCTTGCGACGTTGGAAAACGACAGAAAGAAGACGTGGAAGGATAACCGGGACTACAAAAGGCAGCTTCGAGTGGATAGAAAATTCTACCAGACCCCGGGGGGGCCTTCGGGCTCCAGGGCGCCGGCACCGCCGCCGCCGCACCCGGGGAGACGTGACGGACTACATCGGAGTGCGAAAGGGATAGTGCGTGAGCGGAAGAGGAGACTTCCGATCGAGAAACTAATGAAGATCACCAAGTGTCATCGATGCCACAAGAAGGGACACTGGAGCCGAGAATGTCCCGAGAAGGGGGACTCGACGGGAGCCGCAGCGGGAAGCGGGTTCGTGCTGCTCAATGAATCGGAGCCGAGCTACGCGATCCTGGCCTCGGAGAACATCAACTCGATCAACGCGCGCGGGTTGATTCACCAGGTTGTGGACCGCATCAGATCCGAGAAGGTCGAGGCCATGAGCCTGCTGGTCACCGGCTCAGGGGACATCGTGGTGGACACGGCGGCGGGCCAGGCGCTGATCGGGCCGCAGGCGCTGCAGAGGCTGGAGAAGCGTCTCGGCGAGCTGGGCTTCCGAGTAGTTCGGGTCAAGAGCAAGCACCAGTTCGCGAGAGGTGTCGGCGGGAAGACGCCCGTGCAGTCAGGACTCCTGGTCCCCACAGGCATCGAGGGCAAGACAGGCATCATGGAGCTGGACCTGATCGAGCAAGACGTGCCGGCCCTGATGCCGATCAGTATGCAAGAGCAGATGAAGGCAGTGATCGATCTCCCGAAGGCCGAGATGACTCTGAGGGCGCTAGGGGCGACCACCAGCTTGAAGCGGCTGTCGAGTGGTCATCGCACGATCGCGATCGACAAGCTCGGCAGCCCAGAGAATTTTGAGCTTCCGGAGGCTGTCCGGAAGCGTTTCGGACTGCAGGCGTCTGACTTTCGCCTGAGCTCGAGCGAGAGCTACGTGCTTCCTCCTCCCGCTCGGTCGCCCCCCCTCGTGTCGTCGATGTCGTCTCCGGAACAGTCGACTCGGAAACCCAGGGCCGATTGGGCTCGTATCGAGAAAGACCCGGCCTCGCCATCGAAAGTGATCAGCAACGACGCCCAGAAGCATCAAGGAGGACCTCCAAGTGCAGGTGAGCACCTCTTTCCCCCCCCCCTCTGGTTCTGGAGGCCCTCGAGGCGTTCCGGGAAACTCAGAGGCCTTTCGGCGGATGTCTTGGGAGGCGGTCTCTCCTACTCATTTTTCGTCCCGTCGTCGACGTCGTGATCCGACGCATGTGGCCATTTCTGGGCCGAGCGGTTTGAGGAGGACGTTTCGAGACGCTTTCTCTCACACGGGCTGCAGATGCCATGGTGACGTATTGGAATCGAGCCGAGAAAACGCTTCTGCAGGCGATGACGGGCTCCACCGCGAGCGACAGTGGCGAGCCGCAGTGCGTCAAGTACTTGCTGACTGGAAACGAGTATCCGAACGGGCTGTCGGTGGGAGACAAGTTCTGGGCGTACCTCAGCTCCAGGATCGTGGCCGATCACCAGCACAAGGGGCTGAAGCTGCTGCGCATGTTCCAGAACGGCCACCAGTGGCCAATCAAGACCAAGAAGGCGGACAGGTTCTACACGGAGCGCCAGATGAAGTGCAGTCATTCCTGGGCACGTCTCATCAGTTTCGGCAATTCCCACGGCAGTTGGGAAGTCTGCGGGGACTGCGACATGAGGGTCTCGTACTTCCAGAAGGCGTCCGTCATCTACAAGGGGAAGGGCAAGTCGCCTCAAAGCGGCTCGACGGTGCTGAACGTGAGCGACCTCGCCAAGCCCCCCGGGGGCAGGGCATCGGTGAGGAACTCGGTGGAGTGCACGAGGGTCGCTCTCATGACGACGACGAGCGACCGGGGGCCGACCCAGGGCTCGGAGGAGCCGATGAGGGTGAAGAAGCGCTCCGAGGAGATGGTGCAGTATCGGGCTTTGGAGGCGCCCATGGAAGTAGACAGCACAGGTCCAGCACGCCCTCGCCAGCACGCCCCTCGTGCGTCGCTGATCAGCGAGATCAAGAGCATGAAAGAAGAGATGACCAACCAGAATCACGGCCTGCTCGCCCTGGTGGTGGAGCAGGGAAAAGCCATTCAGCACATCCAGGCGGCGCAGCTCGGCATCCAGGAGAAGCAGGCCATGATGGAGAGGCAGATGGCGATCGAGGACCAGCCGAAGACGCTGCCGCCGCAGGTGCCGGCCCAGGCGGTGTTCCCCGTCGGGTGGGAGACGATGGAGTCGCCTCCGACCGCCGGCAGTGCCGGCAGCGGACCAAGCAGTCCCTGAAGGACGGCAGGTGCTTGTATGGCCTGAGTGAGCTGCCCGAGGCGGAGAGCCTCGATCGGATTCTAAGCAGCGCCGGATGGCGAGCGCACGAGACTTTCTTTTTCCAGGAAGAAGCGCCCCACTATCTTGGGGAGGACGGGAGGATGAACCTGATTAGAAGGCCAGATGGAGTGTGGGCGACGGAGAAGGAGGGGGGCGCTTCTCCAGACGACCAGGCAGAGCGCTTGGTGGCGATGTCCCTGCCTGTTTGGCGGGATCTGTTGCTTTCAGGCGAGTTTAATGACGATTTCGAGGCGATCGCCTCCAGGAGGGAAAAGAAAGCATGCGAGAAGGCCCTGCGCTTCTCGGCAGGACCATCCCACGGTGAAGGGCGGCTTCCAAGAGGGGCGCAGCTTCCACCAGAGGGACAGCTTCCAGGAGGGGTGCAGCTTCCACCAGAGAGACAGCTTCCAGGAGGGGGGCAGCTTCCACCAGACGGACAGCTTCCCCATCCGGAACGAGAAGTTCAGGGACCCTTCGAAGACCGACCTCAGGGAGCATCCACCCGCTCCCCGGCTTGCCTAGCGGCTGTCCGCCGTCAGACCCCCAAGTCCGAGAGACTCGAGGCCTCCAGGAGACGGCAGTGGGCCGACAGGGCCTTTGTCGAGGTGTATTCTCCTCCTCGGATCGGTCCCGAGGTCCAGAAGCGCAGGGTGGGATGTCTCGGGAGTTGGGATTTGGAAACCGGATGGGACTTCAGAGAGGGGGGTGTCAGACTTGCGGCTAGGCAGCGCCCGAGAAAAGAGAAGCCAGCAGTTGCCATGATGGAGCCCCCGTGCCAGACACACAGCGCCATATTTAGGGTCAGCAAGGGGCCCATGGATTCCGAGTACCGCGAGGCTCTGATCTCGGAGGGCCTCACTCACCTTCATCATGCGGTCGACCTGGCCCTCATCCAGTACCGCGGAGGGCGCTCCTTCGTGCAGGGGCACCCTGACACGGCGTCGTCCTGGGGGGACCCCAGAGTGGTCCGATTGGCGGTGCTTCCGGGCGTCCAGGCGGTTTCGTTCGACATGTGCTGTTTCGGTCTCACGGTGGATCCCGAAGGCAAGTTGTCCAGGAAGCGAACTAGACTGCTGACAAACGACCCCATAGTGATCGAGATGTTCAAGAAATATCAGTGCTCTGGGGACCACGAGCACTTCGTTCTGGAAGGTCGGGCGGTGACTCGGAAATCCCAGGTGTACCCCGAGGCCTTCTGCAGGCGCATGGCCGAGACCGTCGCCAAGATCGCGTCTTCCATGGCACGCAAGTCAGCCCACCCCGAGTCGTTCTGGGGACTGATAGATCAGGTCAACCCTTTCCCAGTAGGAGCGTCGGGAGGAGCGGCCCCACCCGTGAGAGAAGACGATATCGATCTGGACTCTGAAGAACAGGACGCGGACATGGGCTCTGGAGATCTCGACCCGATTCCAGAAGGCGAGGAAGGGGGAGAAGAGGATGAGCCCGACGAGGCTCAACCTCCCTTCACCATCGACGCCCGCGTCAAAGACCTGCTGTATAAGGTTCACGTCAATCTGGGACACCCTCGACTTCCCCGTCATTCGTGTGCTGAGGGGGGCTCACGTTCGCCCCGAGGTCCTGGAGTACGTGAAGGCGTCTTTCTCGTGTCCAGACTGCGACGCCCACCCCGAGGCAGAGCAGAGACGAAGGGCGGCTATGCCTCACACGTTTCAATTTAATCGCGTGGTGGGGATAGACGTGTTTTATGTTTCCTTCGAGGGCCGTTCTATTCCTTTTTTGAACGCGGTGTGCCACGGAACGAACTACCAAGTGGTAGCCAGGTGCAACGGATATGGGACCCCAACGGCCCGGAGTGCGCGGGAAGCGTTCGTGGGATCGTGGATCCGATATTTCGGCCCCCCGGAGTTGGTGCTTTCGGACGGCGGAGCCGAGTTTCAGGCCGAGTTCCTCAGGGGGCTGGAGCAACAGGGCGCGTTCCAACATGTGGTGAACGCGGAGGCCCCTTGGGAAAACGGCCGCGCGGAGAGACACGGGGGCTGGGTCAAGGACCTTCTGGACAAGGGATCGGAACAGACCGTCGTCGCCACGGAGAAAGAGCTCGAGATCCTGGCGTACGAGGTAGTGGCCTCGAAGAACAAC